ATCTTCCCTGCTTTAATTTCATTTCAAATGTCCCAGAGAAAGACTCAGACTGGCTCACCTGCAGTGAGGTTCCTATCCCTGGACTCTTTGCTCATCACTAACCCATTTGACCCACGTGGTTAGGGCAAGGAGAGGCGGAGCCAGAAGAAGAATTAGGAGGCAGCTGTTCTGGGCAGGCCCAACAATTAGATGATGGCTATCCCTCTGTGGTAAGTAAGGCAAGATCGGAACAACGCTAAACCACCAAAGGCTCAGAGCCCTCAGGAGTGAGGATCTGGGTCACTTCATAAAGAAGAAAATCCTGGCTAAAGGCAAGGGGGACTTGGAGTGAATAATGGAAAAGGGAAGACTAGTTAGGCCTCAGAGTCCCTGGGTGGTGCAGTTAATGCACTTGACTGCTAACCAAAAGATTGGAGGTTTGAGTCCACCCAGAGGCACCTCAGAAGAAAGGCCTGGTGATGTACTTCCAAAAAATCAACCAGTGAAAATCCTATGGAGCATAGTGCTACTTTGACGCACATGGGGTCACAATGAGAAATTGACTCTATGGCAACTGATTTAGTTAGGCCCCAGGACCTGATGTAGAAAAGGGGCTGTGCTCTCCACCTGTATTTTCTTAGCTGGAAGAGTATCCAAAGATTGAGTTACCTCTGCCTTTTCATTTCCTTTTCCCTCTTAAAATAGGATTTGTCATAATTTATTTCCTGTGGAAGAGGGAAAAAAAAATTAATGGTACCCTGTTGCCATCAAGTCAATTCCAACTTATAGTGACCCTATATGACAGAGTAGAACTGCTACATAGGATTTCCAAAGGTGTAAATATTTACAGGAGCTGATGGTATCTTTCTCTGAACTGCTGACCTTTCGGTTAGCAGCCGAGCACTTCACCACTACACCACCAGGGCTCCTCCCATAAAGTTACAGCCTAGGAAACCCTATGGGGCAGTTCTACTCTGTCCTATAGGGTCACTATGAGTTGGAATTGATGACTTGATGGCACAACAACTCCCCTAATACCAGCCAGTGCTTTCTGGTTTTATCATTGTTGTTGTTAGTTGCCATCCACTGGGCTTATGGTGACCTATGAGACATTGCCCAGTCGTGTGCCATCTTCATGACCATTGGTATGTTTGAGTCCATTGTTGTGGCTATTGTGTCAATCCATCTCACTGAGGGTTTCTCTCATTTTTGCTGACCAAACATGATGTCCTTTTTTAGCAATTACTCTTGTCTCTTTGATCGCAGACTGGGTTCCCATACCCTATGCATTTTCCCCAGGGAGGAAGGGAGTGAGGGGAATCAGGTTTCATGGAGAAGACACTGGGAGAAGAATCCACTGGGGTTTGGAAGCCTGTGCTGGATATGCTATTCTTCCTCTTCACCTGGACAAAAGTACAGGAGCACACGAGTAGAGGGAGGTGATTAAGCCATCTATCTAGGCCTGGTTGCAGGGCATTAGCCCCAAGTCCTGTCCCAGAGTGGATTTTCTTTCTTCTCTTAAATCTTTCATTAAATGACTTTACTCAAATAAGTACAAAATAAATATATAATTTCAAATTGTGACAACTCCTATGAAGAAAAGGAACACAGTGACCTGAGAGGATATAAAAGGGGGAACTAACTGATGTAGGAGGTAAGAGAAGGCATCTCTGAGAAGAGCTCAAAAATATGAGCAGATAGGGAGAGGAAAAAGAATTTAAAGCAGAGCGAACAGTGTGTGCAAAAGCCACGTGGCAGAAAGAAGCCAGGGGCCCCACTGCAGAGATGGAGGGCAAAGGGTGAAGCTGGCCAGGCAGACAGAGGGCAGGACGCGCAGACTCCTGTGGCTGCTGCCCTAAGATTTCCTCTGCAATGGGAAGCCAGCGAATGGTTTTAGGCAGGAGGGGTAGTGACTTGAACAGATTTTCATTTTGAAAATATCACTGTACGTGCAGTGACGCGAATCCGATCAGAGGAGCCCAATGCTGTTAGACGATAAAACAGGATCTGGAAAGCCTCGGTAAAGGGGCCTCAATCTTTGTAACTCAATCTTTGGATACTCTTCCAGCTAAGGCCCCAAGGCGCGGCTCCGCGGAAAACCGAACCGGCCCACGTGGGCCGCCGCCCCGCCCCGCCCCGCCGCACTGACGCCGCCGACTCTGCAGCTAGGGCTTGGGGCTGGGCGTGCCGCCGCGGACCCCGCAGCCCATATCGGGGCCGACTTGGACGTCCAGGCAGAGGGAGCACCCCACCCCAGGGTGCTAAGTTCTCGCCGCGGGCCCGGGGCGGAGCCAGAACCAGCCCGCGCCGCGCGGCGCCTCTAGGCCGTGAGTCGGGCCCGGGGGTAGGGGTGGGATCAGCTGCGGGGGGAGTGGGCGTCGCAGCCTCCGCCCAGCTGCCTCCTTTGGGGAAATTAGGGAAGGATGATCTCTATCCTGTCTCCTGGGAGTAGCCTCCCTCTAACGCAAGCCTAGGCAGGAGGGGAGGCGGCTGCTCCCCCATCCTTACAGAGCACCCCCCTCCAGGGCAGACTGCGGATTAGCTTGGGGAGAGGCCTGATCCTGGGGTGTCTGGGCTCCCAATTTTGTCATCTCTGAGAACCTGTGATCCTTAGCGTCACCTTCACCCCATCCTCCTTCAGGGCTCCGGCCAGGCCTAAACCAAAAAACCAAACCTGTTGCCGTCGAGTCGAATCCGACTCAGAGCGACTCTATAGGACAGAGTAGAACTGCCCCGTAGGGTTTCCAAGGAGCATCTGGTGGATTCCAACTGCTTACCTTTTGGTTAGCAGCCTGAGCTCTTAACCACTTCCCCAGGCCTAGGAAAAAGCTTTGCCTAGAGGGATTGGGGGTGGGGTGGGGAGTGTAGATTACAAAGAACAATCCCTACACCGTTCTCCCCAGGACTTCTGTCTCAGCTGGGTGTGGGGAAGATCCCTGCCACCTGTAAAGATCCTCCTAGTGCCTGCGCCACATACGGTATCCCTCACTCTTACTGATCCCCAATTTTTCTAATCCCAGTAACGTGTGGAGAGTAGGAACCTCTTCTCAATTCAAACTCTAATTTTGGTAGAAACCAGTTATTGAGGAGGGAAGAGTGGTGTGGCATGCCCTCCCTTCTGGGCCTCAGGATGGAGCAAGCCAGGGGCAGGGACACATAATAATAAATGTATTCCAGGGGCACTGGGAGGGAAGGGGCCAGCTGAGAGGGGAGCTTGTCAATGAGTGGGTTCCCTGGGGCAGAGGAAGGAACTGGACACAGCTCATCCCGCCCTGAGCAGTCAGTGTTAACCTTCCGTTACCATTGGCTGTCTTCCTGGATGTGGAAATCCCATTACAGCTCCCTCTTCCCAGTTCACTCACTCAGTGAGTATAGTGGTTAAGTGCTATAGCTGCTAACCAAAAGGTCGGCAGTTCAAATCCACCAGGCGCTCCTTGGAAACTCTATGGGGCAGTTCTACTACTCTGTCCTATAGGGTCGCTAGGAGTCGGAATCGACTCAACAGCAACAGGTAATGTGAAAAGTGCCAGGCTCTGCACTGGGTCCTGGGGATGTAACCAGTTGCCATCTGGTTGACTCCGACTCATGGCAACCCCATGTGTGTCAGAGTAGAACTGTGCTCCATAGGGTTTTCAATGGCTGATTTTCTTTGGAAGTAAATCTCCAGACCTTTCTTCTATGGTGCCTCTGGGTGGACTCAAACCTCCAACCTTTCAGTTAGCAGCCGAGTGCATTAACTGTTTGCACTACCTGGTGATCCAATGGAGAGTATATTGAGGAGCTCCCAGTTTAGTCCAGGAGCAAGATTTACAGCTACTGTTGTGGTGCAGTGGTTAAGAACTTGACTACTAAATAAAAGGTTGGGAGTTTGAATCCACCAGCTGCTCCTTGGAAACCCTATGGGGCAGTTCTGCTCTGTCCTTTAGGGTCACTATGAGGCAGAATCAACTTGACAGCAACAGGTTATTACAAGATAGTTTTTAAAAAGTTGAATATAGATTTATTGACCACCAACTGTGTGCCAGTGACAGGAAACAAATATGGATAAGACAGTGTGTACTCAGGGCAGTGGGGACCCAGAGGAAGGCATAGTTAAATGTGTGTGTGTTTATGTGTATCAGGAGGAGTGGGGGAGAATATCAGGAAGGCTTCAGAGAGGTGGGGATATTAGAGCTGAGTTTTTAAGTGGAAAAGGGAGGGGCTTCGAGGGGAGAGAAGAGGATGGGTATTGTAAGCCAAGGAACAGCATGAGGAGAGTAATAGCGTGTTCTGAGATCTCTGAGCAGTTTGGTGGGATGGCTGGGGCAGAGTGGCAAAAGGCAAATGGGGAAGGGTGAGCAGGGGCTGGATCAAGCAGAGCCACGTAGGCCACATAAGGGTTTAGCAGAAATTTAGTGAGGGCACGTACAGCTGTAACAAATCAAATTTACATTTTTAACTACAGATAGAGAGACCAGTAAAAAGGTTGCGGCAGTAATCAGGTAAGAAGTAGCCTGAATCAAGTGAAAGTGAGGGGAGATACATGTACACACACTCACAGTAAGTTTTATAAGAAACAATCTACAGAATTTGGTGGCCAGTCAGATGGGGGCAGGAAGGAGAGTGAGACGTCTCGGATGTTCCCAGGATTCTGACTTGGGTGACTGAATGACTAGTGGAGCCATTTGCTGAGACAACTGAAGAGGGAGAGCTGGTTTGGATACGTAGAATTTGAGGAGCCTGTGGGAAATCTAGGTTGCAGTGTTGGATAGCAGTTGGATCTGAGGTGGAGACAGATCTGGGAGTCACCAACATATGGATGGTTCTTGAAGTTACAGCAGAGGATGAGGTCATCTGGGGAGAGTGCATAAAATGAGAATAGAAGACTGCCTGTCTCAGAGGGCTGAGGACACCAGCGTTTAAGGGATGGGCTGAGGAAAAACTCTATGCAGGAGACTGAGAACAGAGAGAGTGGAGGAAAACCACACAGGGATATGTTACCAGAATCCAGGGAAAGGGACTGAGAAGGAGCAGCCAGGCTCATGCTTACTGCCTTGCCCCTGCAGCTAGGTTGGCATGACTTCAGGCACCCCACTCTGTCCTCCTGTGACTCATTCTTCCGCTTCTCCGTTACAGACCAGATGTTTGCCATTCAGCCAGGGCTAACTGAGGGGGGCCAGTTCCTGGGGGGCCCACCCCCTGGGATATGTCAGCCCGAATTCCAACCAGACAGCAACTCCAACTTCATGGCAAGTGCCAAGGATGCCAATGAGAATTGGCATGGGTTGCCAGGCAAAGTGGAACCCATCCTGACGGGCAGCTCCCCTGAGTCGCCCTCTGACAACCAGGCCTTCCAGGTCTCTGGACTCCCCGAGGGGGAGGTTCGCAGTCCCCCAGAAGGAGCAGAGATTCCCAGGGCTGAGCCTGAGAAGATGGATGGTGTCAGCACAGCCTGCTCCCCACTGGAGGACAACGGCTATGCCAGCAGCTCTCTGAGCATTGACAGTCCTAGCAGCAGCCCTGAGCCTGCCTGTGGGACCCCTGGAGGTCCTGGCCCTCCAGACCCCCTTCTGCCCTCAGTGGCCCAGGCGATGCAACAACTGCAGACTCAGGAGCGCTACAAAGAACAAGAGAAGGAGAAGCACCATGTGCACTTGGTGATGTACCGTCGCCTGGCCCTGCTGCAGTGGATCCGGGGCCTGCAGCACCAATTGGTTGACCAGCAGGCCCGTCTGCAGGAGAGCTTTGATACCATTCTAGACAATCGAAAGGAGCTTATCCGTTGTCTCCAGCAGAGGGCAGCACCATCCCAGGACCAAGGCTAAGGGTGTGCCCCAACAGGTGTGCAAGAGTATACAGGTGTATATTTGAAAGCATGTGTGTGGTTGTGCACAAATAAGTACATGATTATTTGTGGGGATGACTGCGGGTGATCATAAGTGAGTATTTATGTACTAGCATGTAGGCAGGTATGCAGATATGTGCAGAAATGTATGAATAAGCACCTGTAAGCTTAAGTGTGCTTTATGTGCACGTGTGCACATACAAGCTAATTTATATGTAGACCTATGTGTGTGTAAGAGTGAACATACATGTAAATTTGTATATTCATTTGTGTGTGTGTGTGCGCGCGCACGTGTGTGCACGTGTGCGCATGAATGAGGATGTGTATAAAAGGTCTCTGCATATGAGTGAGTTTGAGTATGCAGGCTTGTGTTGGGTGTACGTGAGTGAGACCTTGTGCATGCAGGCCTACATATAGGGGTGCATGTGTGCAGATGAAGTATGTATTAGGAGCATGTGTATCTGCAGGCAGACTCATGACCAGGTGTTTGCACATATATATTCAATTGCACATGCAGGGCATCCATCCACACCCTGTGTTACCCATGGCTCACCCCAGTCTTTTTTCTTCACAGAGTCCCACTTTCCCCCTGGAGAGAGAGCAAGGCTGGCCTCCTGTCATCTATGTAAGCGTTGTGCTGATCCATTCTCCTAGGATTTCCCAGGCCACCTCTCCTCCCTTCCCCTCATCTATCCCAGAACTTGCTCCGCTAAGGCTAATGGTTGTCCATGATGGTATATTTGGTGGCTGCTTTGGCCTGCTATGGCAATTTGGCTGTGATTTTTCCAGGGCAGTTGGTGGAGAATTGGTATCAGGGAGGGAAACTAGGGGTAGTGATGGAGACCATGGTGGGGGAAAGGATCAGAGAAGGAGATAGGGGATTGTCCCTCTGGAACCTTGCCTTTGGGCACATGGGAGTTTGGGGAGATGCCAGTGGCAGAACCTATGAAGAATAAGAGAATGGGAATTCTAAAATATCAGTTCCCAAATAAACCAGATCTGCAAAAGGAACTGTTGAAAACCATTTTGATTTATGCTTCTGTTGAAAACGAATGTGTGCGTATAAGCTTGCAAGTGATGGACAAGGTGTTCTAAGGGTACTGAGAAAAAAATCTCTCTTCCTTCTCTGTGCCTCTGCCTCACTGTGCCTCGCTGGCTTCAGCAACACTGAATGTCGAATTGATTTGGTCCCTTTTCCCTGAAATCAGACCGTCTGGGCCAGGAGGAGCTAGAGCTCGGCTTTCCAGAGTCAGTCCAGCCTCTGGAAGCTTTTAGGATGCTTCCATCACTGCATGGTCCTTTAAACAGAGGTTGACAGGCTCTAGCAGAGGCTCTGTGAGGTGAAATGCAGGTGAGTCCTGGGAGAACCGAGGACTAAGGCAAGCTCTCTGTTTTACTTCTGGGAGCCAAGGGGATGCAAGATCCTGATGGATAATCTGAAGTGCACCTAAAGAAGAAACACTGGTGGGTGAACAGTGACATGGAAGTCACTGACATTGCCTTTGGCCTTCAGTTTCCTTGTCTGAAAAATAGAGGACTTCCCCTTTCTATCTCTAAGGATTTCTGATGGGTGGGTGAAGGTATAAGGAGTGAGGGTAAAGCATGGGCCCTGGGGACTTTGTATCTTAAGCTTTTGCATGTTGTGTGTGAACCTGGCCTATGGATCAACCCAGGACAAATAAACTGGGCAGAGAAATGAATCTTTTTAGTATGTGTTTCTTATTCTTCCTGTTTTCTGGTGGCCTCTTTTCCATCTCACCATCTGAGCTCCCCTTTTGAGCAAAGTCCTGGGCTGGGAGCTGGTGGGTGGGTATTGGGGGAGTGTTATGGATTGAATTGTGTCCCCAAAAATATGTGTTATAAAACCTAACTTCTATGCCCATGGTTATAATCCCATTTGGGAATGGGTTGTCTTTGTTATGTTAATGAGGCAGGATTAATGTAGGGTGTGTTCTGAGTCAGTCTCTTACAAGGATATAAGAAGAGCAGATTAGGACAAGCAAGCAAGCAGAGATGGAGAAAGAGAGATGCCAAGCCACATGAAGATCACCCAGAAGCAGAAGCTCAACAAGACAAGGACCTTTCTTCAGAGCTGACAGAGAAACCCTTTCCCCTTGAGCCAGCACCCTGGATTCAGACTTCTGGCCTCCTATACTGTGAGAATATAAGTTTTTCTTTGTTAAAGCCACCCATTTGTGTTATTTCTGTTCTAGTAACACTAAACTAAGACAGGGAGACATTACCAGTTGCCATCAAGTCAGCTCCGACTAATGGTGACCTCATGTGTGTCAGAGTAGAACTGTGCTCCATAGGGTTTTCAATGGCTGATGTTTTTGGAAGTAGATTGCCAGGCCTTTCTTCTGAGGTGCCTCTGGGTAGACTTGAACCTCCAACCTTTCGATTAGCAGCCAAGTGCATTAACCATTTGTACCACCTAGGGACCTCAGGGGAGACAATGGGGAGGAAGAATTTGGACTCTTATGTCTTATCTCCCTGTCTGACTGGGTAGACTTGGCCTTTGCCCTGAGAGCCCCATAAGGGATGGAAAGACTTGGTAGGCACTTTGGAAGAGTCCCTGACCCAACAGGGAATGTCCTTGTCCTGAGTCACCTTTGGGCTTGAGGAGGGGCATGGATTTTGAGGGACACATAACATACACACACACACACTCTCAGCCTTGCTCTGGAGTCACCACTTCCCTGAAGGATGCCCTGACTGCAAACCACTGAGTTTGGGTCCTTAAATGGTTTAACTCAGATGTAGTTATAATACATATACACCACTTCAGACATTTATTGATGCCAGTCTAGATTACATCTTCTATTTTACATTAGTTTTTATGACTCATTATTTTTGTAAAGAAAGTATATTAGTTCTTGCTGCATAACACCTAAAACTGCATTACCCTAAAACCTAGCAGCTTGAAAAAAATACACATTATCTATGGGCCAGGAATCTGGGCCGGCTTGTCTGGGTCCTCTGCTTCACCGTCTCTCATGAGGCTGCAGTCAAAGGGCCAGTCCAGGGTCTGTGGTCTCATTTGTTGGTAGCCTTCAGTTCCTCAGGGGCTGTTAGCTGGAGGTCACCCTCAGTTCCTTGCCATGTGGGCCTTTCCAACAAGGCCGCTTGCCTCATCAAAGCATGCAAGCTATATTAGTTTCCTAGGGCTGCCCTAACAAAGTACCCCAAAGTGGGTGGCTTATATAAATAGAAACATATTGTCTCACAGTTCTGGAGGCTAGGAGTCCAAATTCAGGGCTTCAGCAGGGCCATGCTCCCTCTCAGCTTTAGAGGAAGATCCTTCTTGTCTTTCTGCTTCTGGTAGCCCCAGGTGTTCCTTGGAGTTCCTTAGCTTGTAAGATTTTGCATCTTCACATGGCTATCTTCCCTCAGTCTGTCTCTGTGTCTATTCTCTTTTACAGATACCAGTCAAATTGGATTAGGACCCACCCTACTCCAGTATGACCTCATGTTAACTGATAACATTTTCAAAGACCCTATTTCCAAACAAGGTCAGGTTCACAGGAACCACTGATTAGGACTTCAGTATATCTTTTAGGGGGACATGATTCAATCTGTAACACAAACCAAGAAGGCAGTAGAGTCTGCTAGCAAGATACCACCAAACCAAACCCACTGCCACTGAATCAATTCCAACTCATAGTGACCTTATAGGACAGAGTAGAACTGCCCCATAGGGCTTCCAAGGCTGTAAATCTTTATGGAAGCAGACTGCCACATCTTTCTCCTGTGGAGCGGCTGGCGTGTTCAAATAGCCGACCTTTCAGTTAGCAGTCAAGCACTTTAACCATTGCACTGCCAGGGCTCCTGCTAGCAAGATAGAAGTCACGATTTTATGCAGCCTAATCACAGAAGTGACATCTTTCAGTATTATCACACTGTATTGGTTAGAAGCAAGTTACTCAAGGGGAGGATATTATATGAGGCTATAAATACCAGGAGGTGGGGTCATTGGAGGCCATCTTAGAGGCTCCCTATCACAGAAGGAGTCCTAGTGGTGCAGTGTTTAAAGTGCTTGGCTGCTATCTGAAAGGTCTACAGTTGGAACCCACCAGCCACTGTGCAGGAGAAAGATGTGGCAGTCCGCTTCCATAAAGATTTACTGCCTCGGAAACCCTATGGAGCAGTTCTACTCTGTCCTACAGGGTCACTATGAGTTGGAATTGACTCAATGGCAGTGGGTTTTTGGTTATCATGGAAGGTATATTTTGATTGACTAAATAAATGCATATTTTATTAATTTTATTTTTTTCCCACACAAAAATTTATACATACATTGTTATGTGACTGTAATTGCTCTCCCCATACTATGAGAGCACACTCCTCCTTTCTACCTGATTCCCCATGTCCATTCAACCAGCTCCTAACCCTCTCTGCCTTCCCATTATTAATTTTCAATTACACAAATATATTCCACTATAAAAAATTGAAATATTTCAGAGAAATCTAATATCCCCCTTTGCCTCTCCCCCACAAGGTATATCTATTGTAAACTTCATAAAGCATACTTTTTACTGAAACCCTCTTAGTAAGTGACCCAAGATGTTAACAATTCTTGTCATCTCCACATTTGACACTTAAACAAAATTGAACTAATTTTAACAAAATTCCACTTATTAAGACATGTTGTTCTAGCAAAGGGCTATAGCTAAATTTGAATAATTTTACCCATGGAGACTTCTAACAATGAAACAAAGTCAAGACCTCAAAGCACAAGATGTTGAATTTTCAGAAGGGGCTCCCTTCACAGACGTATGAAGGCTCTTGTGCACACAACCAGTGGTTATGAGTACAGACTCTGACATCAGACCCCCTGGATTTGGATCTTAGTCCCTTTGCTTTCTGTCTGTGACCTTTAGCAAGTCAATTAACTTTTCTGTGCCTCAGTTTCCTCATCTTAAAATGGGGCAATAGTAGTAACTAACTCATAGGGTTGTTGCAAGGATTAAATGAATGTAT